AGAAACTTTTATTGAGAACTTGATTGAATTATTACGTACAACGATATGCAAGTAGTTTTTACAGCTATTCATATACAACGACGGTTATAGACCACATCGCAAAGTCAAAGTCTATTCAAAATTCCACGTCATATTGTCGATTTAATTTAACTTAACAGAGAGCGCACGAACGCACGTGCAAGCAAACTTTGCTATCGAACTGGCAAGAAGGAAAATTCGAGTCTATTAATTTCACTGGATAGAACGAATATCGAATTGCCCGATTTGATGGCTGTTTGCTTCGCTGTTTGTTCGTCTCTCAACTCGAGTAAAATTAATGTGAATATTACACGTGCCTATTTATTATACTCAGCATACGTCTATCTGCTAACGCAGATGCGCTTCCGATTGCCAGTACTTGGTCGCGATAATTGAAGAAGAGGGGCGAAAGCTAAGTTGCGAGGTGAGACAAGGAGGAAACACGATACCCGGAGCTAAGTCTGTTAGCTCCTTAGTGCTTTCGGTATACCGCAGGGATCCGTGATAATAATCCTCCTCTCCCGGACGATCACGGCGGATGTATGGCTATTAAATTATTAGAGCGTCGATCAACATTAGGAATCGTGACAAATCCGATCTGCGCGCGAACGTCCTTACGTCGGCCTGCTTTCCGTGCACGCGCACCTTAATTGACAATTGTGACTCACGGACGACTTTCTCTTATCCGCCTATTGAGATTGCTGCTCCGCCAAATCCCTTATCGACCACGGGCGAATTACGGGTGTACGCCCGAGGAAATGGTATATAAATAAATACGATCGCGTTTCCAGAGAAGTAGGGTCTTCTTCTAAATGTACCAATATTTGACTTATTACTGTCTGTATAAAATCCTGCAATGGAGTGCAGTTAATATTCGTGGATTTCGTGGATTTTCGTTCTCAACTCGAAGGATCTTGACCCAGGTGTGGCTGGGATACGTATGAACACGTGGACGCAACGCTGGCATTCTGCGCGCAGTTAATTTCGAGCCCCGAGGCCGAGGCTGGCCTGGGTTTTGAGCTACCGGTTACGCGGATAGGTGGAGAAGCGGAAAAAGAGGATACAGAGGGACGAGC